GGATCTGGCCGTCCATTACGCAGCGGGCTTACCAGACGGCTGAGATCATCGCCTACGTCAACGGCATCGATCGCAGGTCTCAAAAGCTTAGGTTTTTTTTCCCTTTGCCGTTTTAATTTGTCCCTTAAATCATTGAAATTTGACATTCCGTCTGCCAATACTTGTAAGTTGTTTCAAATTAATCAATTGATTTCGAAGGAAAAATTCTATTGGACAGCTACGAAACCGACGAGGCTTTATCAGAATGTTGGGCAATTAGATACATGTGCGAGGTGTAGCGGATTGAGAATGTTACGATGGTCTAGTGGATATTAATTGAGAGATAAAATAAGAAATGAGGGCATTCGCATGAGAGCTGATGTCGCTTCTATCGAGGATAAAATGTGAGAGCATCGGTTGAGGTGGTTTGGTCACATAGACGGAGGCCACTAAAAACATCACTTAGGAGATTGTGTTAAGACCTCAATCTAGATGTAGACTGGTAGACTTAAAAGAACTTGGGCAGAAGCAATTAAAAAAGATATAATAATAATCAACTTAACGAAGGAGATGACTCATAATAGAAATGAACGGAAGAGCATGATTCATGTACTCGGCCCAAAAATTTTGGGATAAAAGCTTTGTTTTTTTTTGCTCAAATTAATTCCTCAATCAAGAGTAGCAGTAACGACATATAAGAATTTGGGTAATACTAATTTCAATGACTTGAGGGAGTAATTTCAAAATTAAAAAATATTAAAAATTTAAGGGACTAAGTACTAACGTCAGAAAACCCTTACGCCTCGTTTGGTACGTGTGAATGAAGTCAAGTGAAAATGAAATGGAAGAATGAATGGAATGGAATGTATGTGAGAATGGAATGGTCATTCCCATTTTCTTGTTTGGGTGCGTTTGTAGAATGAAGCTAGAATGAAAATCTAATTCTCATTCCCATGTTTGGTATCACTAGTTCACAAGTGAGAATGAAATCTCATTTTCTAATAATGCCTTTATAACAACATAAATTTTTAATAAGATAAAAATAAACATTAATGATAATAACTAAAAAAAATTATTTATGCATATGTTATATTAATCTAGCTATGTGTTATACTAATGCGCATATGTATTCTTCCCTTTTTTTTTCTTAGTTCTGTAAGAATTCTGCTAAAGTAGCAAAAATGATATGGATAATCGTCACAAATTTAACAGAGTTCAACAAATTTCAACAGATTAAGCAGTGAAGAAGAAAAGTCACTAAAAATGAAGAAAAATCGAGCAAAAAACCACCGAATCATACCTAGAAACTCGAGCGAAGGAGAGTCGATGACTCGAGCAAAGGAGAGTCGATGACTCGGTCGTTGAAGAGAAAGGCGATGCCGGGTGTGGCGGTGACTTCGGTGGAAGAGGCGATGTCGGGGCGGAGGCGGCGTCGGAGGCTTTGGGTTCGAGAGGCGGTTGAGGCGGTGGAGGAAGACGTGGAGGAGAAGGGGTTGGGATTGGGATTGAAGTCAGGGGCGATGAATAGAAAGGAGGCCTTTTTGTTTCGGTGGAGCCTAAAAAAACAGAGAGAAAATGAGAATACGTAGTCAAAAGCCATGATTTTTAAATTGATTCTTATTATTAATAGGGGTATAACTGAAAAAAACCTAACTAATTTGATTTTCCCCTTGAATGGGAATGATCATTCCCTATCTTCTCATTTGGAATGCCCATTCCCACAAAAAGTGGGAATGACCATTCCATGGGAATGGTCATTCCAATATCTAAAAACTAGTTTTATTTGGTATGAGGGAATGGGAAGTGAGAATGACATTCCATTCCACCCCATTCCCGCGTACCAAACGGGGCCTTAGTTTCTGGTGTGACCCTTGAATCTTTCATATTTTTTTACTCTAGCCAGGTATTGAAATTGCTACGTGGTCCACAAAATTAATATAAGTTACTCCAAATTACTCGTCCAGAGTAATAAACTGCAGTTTGGCTTGTGGGCAATATTTAATTAAACTTTAACCGTCTGATTTGCGTTTTCAGTTATTGTTTAAATTTACATCCTAACCTGAACCTGTTTAAAATCCAAGCCCTCTCATTCTTCCTCAGCCGTCATTTTCTTCACCTTAACCCATTTTTCATAAGAGAGTGACAAATTTGTGATTTTGGAGGTGAATGAATTCGGGGTACTATGTTGAATTAATCGCTAGCCCAAACAGAAATAAGAAATTCGAAGGAAAAACTAATGGATGTACTAATTTGGAGTAATTTGTATGAATTGAGGGTCTAAATAACATTTTCACTGCTTTGAAGGACTAAGTTAAAGATCAAAAGATTCTAAGGACCAATACTTAAAAAATCATTTAAAATTCCTTGATTTTTTTTTCTTAGAATATTTTTTTGTCTTTGCAGTCATATAGTTCCCGAGTACAGCTTCTTAGATGCTCGAGGTCTCGGAGCTTTTGAGAGAAAAGGGCTGGACTCAATTAATGAGGTAAGAGTGAGTACGAGTTTGTGGATGATGAAGCTGTTGATCATTGTTTTAGGCCCAACAATTTTCAGAAATGAATTTTTTGTCAAGCTTAAGTAAACATATTTTTCAATAAGTTACAATAGTTTTTTCACAGTCATTTCTTTTTCTACAGTGAAACAAGTTTCTTTCTTGCTGCCTTCTAAAACTGGCATCTTAGACAACTTCCTATTGTCCATTGCACTGTAATTTTGTTAGTTGAAATTATAAAATTTGACAGCTTTAATGAACTCCTAGGCATGTTACATTATATAATACTACCAGTTAGTGTATCTGTTTGCATTCCGTGTTCACCTGGGGCACTTGCCCGCTAGTTCTTTAGTGGCTAGATGCTTTTAAGTTTGCTACTGTATCTTGAATTTGTTATGTGAATGCATGATGGCATCACCACAAAATCGAAAAAACCACCACGATAAAAAAAATTATTTAAGAAATCCCCATGGACTTTGTTTTAGTTAACCGCCGTGAAGTATGATTTTCTTCATATTTCCCCCAAGACAATGTTAATGACAGATCTTAAACTACTACAAACTGTGGAGTATAAAGACAGGATATATGATGTGAACTGGGTCCATAATGACAGATCTTAAACTACTACAAACTGTGGAGTATAAAGACAGGATATATGATGTGAACTGGGTCCATTGCTAAACAAAGTACAAGTTAATGTGTGGAGTATAAAGACAGGATATATGATGTGAACTGGGTCCATTGCTAAACAAAGTACAAGTTAATGATAAAGAAACATTTGCAAACTTGAGATGAAACGGTGCATGAAGTTCTGACTACTATTTTTCTGTCATTATTAATCTTTTTCCTTAGCAACATAATTACTAATTTCTATTTGATACTTTAACTTCTTTTTTGTGTGAATTAGTAATTTCAGGTTTACTCATCAGATAGTCTTTCTCCAAACATCAAACCACCTCCTATTGATGATGGAACACCCAACGAGAGTGTTGCTGATGTGTTTGTACGGGTGACACAACTCATGTCTATATTAGAGACACAATATGCGGGAGATACTGTGATTATTGTTTCGCCAGATTCAGATAATTTGACAGTTCTACAAGCTGGTTTAATAGGACTCGATCTACGTAGGTAATTTCATCTCTTACACCCTTGGTTTTCTATTGAGAAGTTGTGATGCTACAAAGTTAGCATGTTACATGTCTAATCTGGTCTTTTATTTAATACATGGCTTCCCCTTTTACCTATTTGAATGTGTTTCCTCATTGAGCTATCTCCCACCCAATAACGTCTTTTACCTCTCATTGCAGAATTAGTATTTGACAATTTACTTCCTGTATTTGAGTCTGAGGTTCCTTTTTGGTGGGGTTAGCTCAACTCCAACCTGCTTTGGTGGACATGTAGAGCTAACTCCTTTACGAACTTAGACTTCCATGCTATTCAAACCGATTTGTTGTTATCATTATGATTATAGACCATTGTCAATATGGCGTTTAGAAAAAAAAAGAATGTTACGATGGACGAGGGGATATACACGAAGAGATAATATAAGAAATGAGTACATTCATAAGAAGTTAAAGATTGCTTCTATCGAGGATAAAATGGAGAATTGTTGGAGATGGATCAGTCATATGTGGTGGAGGTCATCCATACCCGATTAGAAGAAGCATTAAGATCACAATTAACGGTGAAAGGAGGACCGGAGGTAAGCCTGAGGCCTGAGAGAACCTGGTTAGAAGCTGTCAGTAAGGATATTTACTGAGTAACTCAGTCGAGGGGATATCCCTCAATAGCACCGAGTGGAAGAGGAATCATGTAGCCGCTCCAAAATTTTGGGATAAAGGCTTTGTTATTCTTGTACCGTCATCTATATGGCCATCGGTGGCATTGTTATGGTCTTCATGGCTAATTCGTGACACTATATATTGTTGAAAGTTGGATATCATTGCATTAAGTTCTACTCTTATTTCTTCTTCTTCCCATCTACATGAAGCCTAAAAAAGGTTAATTATCTTTTCACCCTTTCCTAGCACCGAAATCTCAATTTTTTAGAGCCGGATCGATCACTTAATGCGAAAAGATTCATGCAGGCATAATGAACTGTTCTTCGGTCCAGGGGATGTGAGGTTAGTAGATCCGAAGAGCATTCCTGACGTCAAAGAACCACCTTCAGCTGTTTACAAATGTACAAATCCTCCAACCTGCACTTGATGTTCTCCATGGGCTTTGTTGAAGTCTCTAGGAAATAAAATGTTTATGTTTGTAGAAAAATTTATTTGGAAATTAAAAAAAAAAAACAGAAGCATGCTGCCAAAGAATCAGCATATCAGCAAAATCTCAAGTTCTTGCTGGTTTAAAATTGCAGCATTTACATGTATTTGTATTATTATATATTTGTAAATCGAAATACAAATAGATTGCTGGCAGTTGTAGTACACTTTTGATGTAAAGCTGCTAATATTATGTAGGTATATTGCTATATATATCGATTGTTGTAGGTGGCTGCTAATTCTGTGTGGATTTTTTTACTATATGAAAAATTTTCTTCATATTTATATAACATTTTGTGGTCTTTTATATTTATACTTGTCTAGATTTTGTTATATTATCAAGTCTGTTGACCTCGAAGTCTGCTCCTAGATCATCAGAAGATTTGTTTAGTGACTAGTCCAAATTCCCTTTTTCTTCCTCCTCCAACTAGAATACATCAAGAAACCAACAAAACATCGCCATTTTCTTCCTCTTATGTCCATCAAAGGTCTAATTTGCAATTCACTTGCTGGCGTTTGACCATTAAAATTATCCATATCTCATTAGCTTTCACTTTGCAAATATATTAAATATTCCCAATAAATAATTCTTTGTTTCTTTTTGAGGGAAAATTAAATAACTATTTGTTGAATTTGTACTAATGTGGGTGTATTCCTGAAGAAAGATATTTCTATGCAATCATATATTTAACTTTTCCGGTAGAAAATACAAACACCGAGGGATATATATTTTAAGTTTTTTCTGTAGATTTCAGTTGACATTATTATCAAACAAATATCTTAAGTAAAAGAGGAAAGGTTAGAAAAAAGTGCACAGCCGAAGCCATATAAGGAAGAAAACATGGATTTATCTTGGAGTAATGAAGGCCAATTATTTTTCCAGGTTGTGAATAATAAATAATAGTTTTATATATGGAGATTTTTTTTGAAAATATCTTTTTTTTTTTAAAATAATTAGCAAAACCGATAATTTTGCTAAATTATTAGCAAAATTGACCTCTTGTAGACCACTTCATCAAGGCTAGCCAAAAAAGATCGATTTTGCAAAAAAATCATCTTCGGAATACACAGGACTAGCACACTGGACTACTAATCCTGTGTAATTAGCAATTGCTAATTAAGAGATTGATTAAAGTTTAGAACATGCATGAGACTACCAATCTCGTGCATTGCGCAAACGCCTAGAAAATACACGGCACTAGTATGTTAGACCCTAGAGGGGGGGGGGTGATTAGGGTCTTATGCTAATCTAATCCGATTTTATGCCAATTAAAAGTTATTAACAAGTTATCCTAGCAAGTATAAAATACAACAATGTATATGAGCTAGGATAAGCAATATGAACAACAAGATATATCCTAACAAAGAGATATAGGCAATGTATGTGCAAGGATATATAAACTTAAGGGTAAACAATCTAAACTAGATAGTGAGCAATATAATCAACAAGCAATATACAAAGGCGATATAAGATATGAACATAAAAAGAAGTGCGCCAATGCAATCACAAACAAACAATATGATTACGGAGTTCGGTCCCCACGACCTACGTCTCCACTCCTCACCTCGAGGAGATCTCCACTATCACAACCGGGTTTTCTACGTTCACCCGAACAACGTTTACACCTCACAATACAATCACTATGTAATCACACCTCACACACTAAGTGTTGGTCCTAGCCCGTGTCCTCCTCCTCAAGTGCTCGGTTACAACCTCTCCCTAGGCACGTCAACCGACGCCACTCCTCTTGGATTCGACCCCGTCTCTCACCACACACTTCTCTCGGTGTACAAGTGTATTACAAGTGAATCCTCACAATAAAGCACAATTATGACAAATGATTGTTCTCAAAATAAGGTGAGAACTCAATTAAGCTCACTCTCAATGTCACAAACCCACAACCCTAAATTATACTATGAATGTAAATACAATAAGCTCAATGGTTGTGTGTGTACAAAGAGATAAATAAAATCAATTAAACTAAACTCAATATAAATCTAGCTTATGGAAATTATAATCAAAATAATAAATTGCTAGATGAGTTTAGAAACACTTCTCTAAAGATGGCAAAAGAGTAGGAGAAGAGTGAATGCTCAAATACCAAAGGATGATCTCCACTTGCTCTTGTGAAATTTGCTTCACAAACAAAACTCTTAAACACTCTTTTAAACAAACACAAAACACCCTTAAACTTGTTTAAACAATTCTCTTAGTTAGGTTGAAAGAGAACAGCAATAGAGTATTTATACCCACTCAAAATCTCAGCCAAACCCCCAAGAAAAAGTCCAAAAAGCCCCAGAAAAATCAGCTCAGAAAATAGTCGTTGGAGTGTAACGGATCTATTGTCAGTCGACCGGCGGAAATATCGGTCGACCGACGGAGAACAAAAAACCTACGAATTGTTCTGGACCATCGTCGGTCGACCGGTGCGGTCGACCGCATCGGTCGACCGACCAACTCTCTGCTGCCCAGTGAGAAATGAACATATGAGCGGTCGACCGGTACGGACGATCCGGTCGACCGAAAACTGATATGCAGAAAATCTGATTTGCTAATTTTAAAATGCTGTTTAAAAATATCAAATAAATTCCAAAAAATGTAAAACTTTGGGGAATGATTGTAGACATGATAATAAACATGCTACAACGGCTGGTTTTCAAAAAGGACTTCCCAAATGAAAAGTATCATCATTTTACAAAATAGTCCAAAACATGAAAATATGAGATACTTGAATTTTGATGTTTGACTTAAACAACATTTTGAAACCTTATGAAATGATTGTATAGACTTGATAAAAGATATAACATGTTGTTATGAAGTCTATAACCTAGAAATACAATATTTTCATAAAATTGCATATTCTATGCAATATATTCAAAACACTAAATATGATTTCATTAAATATAAGCTTGTTAAAGGTGAAATCATATATAGGCATATAAACATGAAACAAAATAGTATTTTCCAATTCTATTCATTTGTTTCATAGTAAAACTTGAAAACTATCAAACCAAAACATATATGTATATATATAACTATATATATACAAAAACCAAAACGTGTATGTGTGTATATGATTGAGCTTAAACACTAGACAAACAACATTAGTAGTAAATTGTTTGTAAATCATCATCAAAACAAGAAGGCCAACATAGTAATCCCGTGTATTGTGCAGACACTCAAAAAATACATGGGACTAGTAGTCCCGTGTATGTCTTGTGTATATTCTAGACATGTACAAATCATGCACGCATGTTTGTAGCTTATCTCATGTTCGTTTACAATATCTCTTGTGTACATAAAAGATTTCAAATTTACATAGTATATATATATATTCAAACATTATAATTTCCATAAACATATAAATTCCATAAAATCATGTACATATTTCTATACACATCTAAACAAACCAAAACATCACAACAAAACCAAATATATCGAGTGTATTGGTTTACAAATAACCTATATCGGTTCCTTAAATAGAGATAATATGAAAAAACATAAATTGATCACGTACAACCTAGAATGCCACCCTTTCCCTATTGTCTCCCTCTTCTTACCACTCAGATCGTCGTCGTCCTCCATTGACTTGAGCTTGCACGAGATCATTGTCTGGTTGCATGAATGGTTGTGATGGTCTAGCTTCATCACCGTTCCTACAAGGTCCTTCTTGCCTCCATCGATTTGGTCAGCGTGCGTGTAAGAGATCCTCTTCCACCATCACCTCTTGTCCAACATGAAGATCATCATGAGTTCAATTCAAAGCTTTACGAACCCTCTGCACTATTCACTATAACAGAGATGCATGTACTTCTAGATCGATTCTTGCGACAGAAAGTGTTAAACCCTCATTTGCAATGAACTTAATATCATCAGCAATATTTATCTGCAACTAAGTTAAAAAGTTACATATATAAGCAATTTGTAGCAACATGAAACAAGTTGACTTGATAGTAAATAAATTACAAGATCTCTCTCATCTATACCCTTGAGCAGATATCTTTGTTGTAGGTTATTGTTGGTCAATATCGAGTAGAGCTGTGGTCTCATTTATTATCTATCTTCCGGTAATCCCCCAATACCACCTGATGTAATCTAATTCTTAAAGAGGAGGATTAATATGTCCCACGATTACTCAAATAGCGGTCATCCCATTTGTACATGATGATACATATTTGCCCATTTTATTCGACGCCCTCCTTTGTTGCCATATCTTTCTATTCTTTCAACTTCTTCAAGAACGTGTTGTGCCAATTGAAACTGTCGAAACACGCGATCTAGTGTATGCATCTCCACAATCTTAAAGCATATGAGAAGAGCTCTTACTCTCAATATAACTTGATAGCTGATCCCCATCAAACACCGATGATGGAAGTTACAATCTGACGACTTCCAGAAGGCTACAATTTAAAGACTTTCACGTAGATCGCTGAAGGTTACAATCTGACGACCTTCACGACAACCGATGAGAGCTCTAGTTTAATAGCCTTCACCATTAACATCGAGAGTTACAATCTGACGACTCTTGCATATCAAAGAGCTAAAGTAAAGATTACAAAATGACGATCTTTGCAAAACTTTGATAGAAAGAGACTACAAATCGACGGTCTCTTCAAATCAAGACGTGGAAGTCCTCCCCGCGTACCAGCATCAAGATGCGCCACATTCATAGCCACGAATGCAGCTCAAATCAACAGCTGAACGCAGCTTCAGCCGCTGAACGCATCTCTAATCGCTGCCAAACGCAGTTCAAATCGCTGTCAAACACAGCTTCCAACAAGATGCCAACGCAGCTTCCAGACACTGCGTTCAAGCTTCCAGACACTGCGTTCAAGCTTCCAGACACTGCGTTTGAACGCAGAATTTACACCGGAACGCGGATTTTGCGGTTGATTCGTTCAAACACGAGCTGAACAGTTTCAAAACTGTTTCCCACGATCTGAGGGGATCACAACTCCACTCAGGAGTGATTTAAGGGGCGGTTACATCCCATTAGCCTTACTTAGGAGCGAATTAAGGAGGTGGT